TGGATGTTAGCTCATTATGTGATTGTCCCATTTATTTTTCCTCAATTTTTTGCCTTTTCCTCCACTTCTTTATTATATTGAATATTTGGCACTAGATATGCAAAAATACTACTTAAAAAAAATCACGGTTACTGATTATATCCCCCCTCACCTGACAAATACATTCATTCCACTGCAGCTCTGACCTACTCTCTGTTCTATTTTTAGTTTATATAGTTTTTAACATTGACTGTTTTGATGAAAATCAAAACCAATCAAATCCAATTTTAATAAAACTAATATATTAAATAATAATACAGAATACCCCAACATCTTTTGAAAACTACTTCACCTGTTGTTTTAATGGATGTTACTGTGCACACGCGTGTTCTTGAGCTCCTTCTGGTGTAGATTTGTGGCCACTTGCATGCTAATACTGCTCCCTGCTGGAAAAACTTCAGACTGCAAGCAAATTGCAAAACCATGTCCACATGCTTATATATTACATGTTAAATAAGGTGTTTTCCCTAGTTACAGCTGAGTCACTCTGGAGTTCACCTATAGATGCTTTTGTGGTATTATAATTAAAAAAATTCAGATAATCACTGGCACACTAACACTGTACAGAACATACTGGTTTTATTTTGGTTTTTCCATCAGGCAAATTAGTAACTGCATGAAATAAATGTAATTTTTTATTTATTTATTTATTTTTTGGAAAAGTTCCCCTCAAATGAACAGAAAATGTGTTTTGTGATCATATGCATATTCCTGTATGCTTACAATTTACTGCTGAAAGCCAAAAATCTTAGACGCTCTTTGTATTTTTTTATAAAAAATAATTTTTACAGAGCAGATCACTGAAGAGATGCCATCTGTTTATAGTTTATAGCCCAGATTTGTGGAAAAATAGGTCAACTTTCAGTGGGCGATCAGAGGAACTTTCTCTACTTGTAAAAGTTCCAGGGCTGGAGCTAGTTGCTCTATGGTAATATCCAGTCACTTTAGCTTGATTGTTTTACTGCAGCAAGACACTGAAGCAAGCCGAAGTTCCATAGCACAACACTTACTGTTTGTTCCATGCACTCAAGCTAAATGTAATGTGAAGTAAAATGAGTAGAAGGTGAAGAGCTGTGGTGGTAAAGCTAGCACTACAGTGTGTGGCAGAGAGAAAACTAACAGACAGCTTCTTAACAATCTCTCTGTCTCTCTTTCTTTCTCCCCTGTACACATTTGCACACTTCCTAAAGGAATGTGATCCCCGGTTTCCCAACATTTTATCAAGTTTTTAGTGGTAAATTAGTCATTTCTAGTTCTCGCTCGGTTCTCTTTCCCAACACTGCGATTATCGCCTTTGACGCATCACCAATGGGTCACTTGTACATGACCAACAATACTCAATTACATCGCTCTGTCGCTCAGGCCTCAATGTTCATTCTAACTTGCTCACAAACCTCAGAAAAATAAACTACTCACCCCTAATTTATACTCCATGATAAAATGACTCCTGGCCTGGTACGTGCTGAAAATTTCATGTTGAGTCTCCAGGCTGTTGAAAGTAAAACAGAAGGCCTTCCAACAGGGTCTACAAAAGGCATTAAAACAAGGATTTCAAGCTCCAGGTCTATAAGGTTACATCAGTCTGCACTGAAGTATTGCCACTGCTCTAACGTACCTCATTCAAATCCCATTAGTAAATTATCATGTTGAATTATTTGCATTAAGCTCTGCAGCAGTGTTTCCACAATTGCTAGAGACTTGATACCCTGAGTAATAACCATTAAAGCTGAAGTCAGTCCCTGCATTAATACAATCATTTTGACTTGGAAGCATTGTCATATCTATGAAATCACACATGTTATAGTTTCAATAAAAAGAGTTCTTGTCCTCCTGGAGATTGGAAGAAACTACTTTTACAGCAAGCTTTCTGTTTTAAGAGACAGAAAGCATTTCCTGACATCTGCTGGTTGAATGCTGCCTTGCAATCCTGACGATGGTCATCCATCCAAGGTGGCACAGCATACCAGTCTCTTAAAGGGGAATTCCTCTGATTTTTTTAAACTTCTGTGTAATTAAACAGTTAAGATGTTAAGAAAGTCCTTCAGAGTGGTCTGATGTGCTCCACTCTAGAAAAACTTGTTCACGGCAGTGATAGGAACCAGACGTTGGATGCTTTTAATGCCTCTAAAAGCTACTTCCCAGATTATATTGAAGCATTCACTGATACTAAAAGAGTCACAGCTATCACACAAGTCATGGTGCTTTATTTTCCAGCTGTTGTCAACCACAGCCTTCTTGAATATGCTACATTATGAAATGCTTATAAATATGTTGGCCAATGTCCAAGACATTGCTTTACCTTAGTTTTGAGATAAAAGTTTGGCCTAAAATGCTCTTTTCTATCCATTTTTGGCATTGAGCAGGGGTGTCAAACTCAAACACTAAAAGGACCATATTAAAAAATCTCAACAAATCCGTGGGTCATTTTTACTATACATTTTGCCATGACCCAAACTGGCCATTGTTTATTCCAAATATGCCCAAACTGCAACAACAAAATAGGCACTGAATACTTTCTGGCCCAAAGATTGTTGTTGGAGAACGGGGGCCAGAATGCACAACATGTAGCAGTGCATGCTGGGGACTGTAGTGCAGCTCAGGGTGAAACAAGCTAATATTAACAGAGAAATTGAAATAATTTTGCTTTTTTAATTGTGCCATGGATCTGACTTGGTAAAAGTACGTTACCCCAAATTAGACTGGATTTACCACTACTTTACTGTTGTCAACATTACATATGGAAACCCAGAAGACGTGTGCAGGTTCACTGGTCGTTTTGGATAATAAACAGATGGCCATATTTGTGTTGTAGACATTGTGACATATCAGAATCAGTAAGTTTTTCTTGCAAAATTTCACATCAAACCACTCAGAATGATTTTGTGTACATCTTAACGATTGAATTATACACACATGGTTGAATGCGCTGCGATGGACTGGTGACCTGTCCAGGGTGTATCCTGCCTTCCACACAATGACTGCTGGGATAGGCTCCAGCTCCACCGCGACCCAGAAGGATAAGCAGCTTAGAAGATGTGTGTGTGTGTGTGTGTGTGTGTGTATGTGTGGTTGAATGCCGAAGTCGGGTTATTTACTTCCACTCATTTATTGTAGGACACCTTTAGATACTGCAGCTTAAACCTAAAGTTTCTCAAAAACTGCACGCTTACAGATTAAAAATGTCTGATTTGAGCAAATGACGTTTTCCTCCAAGCGTTAGCTATAGCAGCAACAGCAATAGCTCTAGCTAGAAAAGCAGCGCATCTGAATAATTTATGCATGTAAACACCCATTTGTCTAAAATCAATAAGGAATTAATAGCGATGAATAATAAATTATTAATAAAGTAGATTATTGTCAGAGACTCCAGCAGCGCTCATATTTACGCCTGACTGGAGCCACAGGCTTCAAGAGCAAGAGCTGAAGCACTATAAGGTTAACTAGATGAGACTTCATATGTCACGTGCTCGCACGTCTTTGTGTAATTACTCGTTATTAACTCACTGAAATTTGGGTTAAAACACACACCTTTATACGGAGTTATTTCGTGCTCCAGAGGGGCTGAGTTCGACAGCTCTTTCGGCTCGAAATTTCAGCGGGGCCTCGAAACACTTTTACCGAGTTGTCTCGGTTAGTGATGGGAAGTTCGATTCAGTTTAGTGAACCGATTCTTTCGAACTGTACGCTGAATTGATTCAATGTTACACTGATTCACAAGAGTCAACTTTATTGACGTCTCACTTGAACGGCTAAATTTCAGAAGGGTCCAAGCTGTGGCATCATTTTCATCATGGCGGAGGACAGGAGCGAGCAGTCAAACAATGGAATGCAATCAGATAAATTGTACAAATATAGTAAATAGTCTGTGAATTTTAAACATGTACAGTTATTCACCATTTTATTTCTTGTTCATGTGAGTTCAAAACACCACTAAACAGGCCAAAACAGGTGCCAGCTAGCTAATAAGCTACAGCACTCATTTCACGACTTAAGTGTAAAGCTCATGAACGTTGGGTGAACGAGTGTAGAAGCCCCACATAGTGCACTACGTAGTATGGAGTCATTTGGGATTAAGACAAGATAGTCAAGCTCGGTACACTCTGAAACGAATATTTTTTAAATGTAGCTTTTAATTGTGTTGTGTTATGAAAAATTATTCGAATTTTAATAGAGGTCTTGAGCCACAGACGTAAACGTTGCGTATACAAAGAGTCGATTCAGTTGACTTGAACTTCAAAAGAACGATTCATCGTCGTTTTTTATTGTCATTTAATGTAAAGGAGTGTATGTACAGCTTCACTCTTATAGAATCAAATACATAAGGTGATACTACTTAAGAAACAACAACAAAAAGAAAATCATTTTTGTTGTGGGGTAGTGGTAAAAATCATATATTCATATAATTTTGTCAGGTCGTCTGGAAAAGTCTGAGGTCAGGAACTGACGTTAAATTTGCCTAATAAGATTAATCATTTGTAATCTCATTTATTTAAGTTCTGTTACAAGATCATTATCTCATTTATAGGATTTCATAAGGACATGAATACAATTAGCTAACGACATTTCCTTCCTAAATTCCTTCAAGAAGATGCACTTTACAAAACAGATGAATGATTCCAACTCACAAAAGGAACATTGCGGCAATATATAAATTTGAAATCATTAAAAGTAATAAAATGTGTAATATTGTAAAGTAAACCTTTTTTACTTTGTTAAGGAGCTGGAAGTTGCTCGTATCCAGCCACATCATCCACAAAACAAGGGGAATTTCTTTTTCCTATCATATAGCGTACAATTCGGACATCACTAGTCTGGATGCCAGTGCAGAAATTCTGATCTACACTTCATCGACGGCAATGAGCTGTTGTATTTATGATTTACAGATCAACGAATTCGCGTAGTCCCGCGATATTATCCGTGCGTTCCTCTTTTTCTCGCGAGACGTGTCGTGCGTTCTCCGCTTGTGAGAGTTCCAGCCATCCGCCATCACCGTAGCCGAGCACACAAAACAGTTGAGAGTAGTAGCAGGCGGAGGAGGCGGAGGTTTGACAACAAGGCGCACAGAGCGAGGGAGAGAGGGGGACTCGGGCCTCGGGGAAAGGTCTAGCGGGGACCCATAAGTAACAGCTTTGCAGGTGTCCCGCTGACAACCCACACAGCGTTTCATGTTTGAGGAGTCCACACACTCACTGAACTAAACATGTCTAATCTGAGCAAAGGCGGCACCAAGAAGGACACCAAGATGAGGATACGAGCTTTTCCTGTAAGTAGTAGCCCGGCAATAACAACACATGGCTGGAAAAGCGAGACACGCTTGGACCGTGCAAAATATTATCTATAGTAATCGCTTTAGGCAGCTTTACCGTCGTTTCAAATACGGTGCTATTTTCTGTTGAGTGTAAACCTTCGCTAGCCGGTCAGCTAACGTAGTCAAAAGTCTGATTCTAATAGTCGGCCTGTACTGACCGCTGATTAAAAAAGACAATAACAGCTCTTGCAAAACCAGATAGCCTGTAGCACAGTCTGCAAGCGCAGTAACCTGCACACCAGCTTAGCCAAGGTTTGCATGCTGCCTAAAACTTTTTTTGTGGCTAGCGTGTCAGTTGTTAGCCAGTTTGTCCCGAATGCTGCTTAATAACATTAGCCAGCTAGCTAAAATTAGCCTGTTGGTGGCCTTACAGTAAGCAGCTGCTAAATCCGGCTAGCTAGTTTTCATAACCACGCAGTTGGACAAATCAAGCTGGTTTCTTGTCATGGCTAGGTACATGTGTCTTGTTTGTGTTGTGCTGTTTATAGTTGGTGGAGACAAATAAGTAGACACGTACCTAGCTTGCTTAGCTAGCTAGCTTAGTTAATCGTCGTCGGGTTTGTTAGCCACCTAATTAGCCGAAGCTGTTTGCTTCGGGCTCGGATCGGTTTTTCGCCAGCTCCGTTGCTGACTAGATTGTGGGTGGAAAGAGAATGAAAGTCTGTAATTTGTTTAGACAAGTAGGGTAGTTCTTAACTACACATGCATTATATCAGTGGCTCTTAGCAAGACAGAATATGGCTGCCATGAAAGCTAGTCATAAATATTTCCAGATAAATTGCTGCAGATGAGTATGTAGGTCAAGGTTTGGTTTGCCACACTGGCGACATAATCAGTGTTTTCACATGCCACTGTGAACTAGAAGTAGACTACACATATGATTCTAGTGTCATGTCAGTCATTAGCTGTGCACCCCTGCGTTTGTTCACGCTTTTCTGAGGTTTTTGCTAGTCTTCTGAGGTATTAGCTTCTGAGCCCTGCCATTATAGTCCTGAATCAGCTAAAGAGCACAGATTCTACATTTGTGGCACTTAATTTTTTTCTCCTGAAGAATGAAGTGTGGGTTTATTAGGGATGAAAGATTTAATCATTTTTATATTGAAATCGCAATTAAAAATAGTGCAGTTTTCAAATTGCAAGAGCTGCAACTTAAATCATAGCCTGCAGAATCAGCAATGTTGTCTATAGGCAATGACATCACCCCAACAACTAACCAGCAGTCTGACATGTTCAGTGTTCAAGTCTCAAGCCAGAAAAAAATGGATGTTATGGTCTTCTTGCCTTGTCGCAATATTGATCAGAAAAATTGCATTTAGACATTGTTCAGGTAAATTTACTCCATCTTCTTTTTACACATTTAGCTGATTTAAAGGACTGTCACACTGAGAGTCTTGTAAAATTGAGAGACTTTTCATAACTTTATGTGCCAGAAATTGTCTTGGCATGTTTGGTGCTGTCCACTGTACAACATCACATTTGTGGTGTTCATAAATGAGTAGCACACGTTAGTACAGGTTATACCCAAAGTCATTTATTATATACTATGTATGTGGGTTGTGAAATATATATATATAAAGCTGCTCCAGATTTACAGTGTTTTACTAATTGGAATAGTATGTGAAGTGCATTGCGCAGTGCTGTGTTTGCTATGGGAGTCAGTGCCTTGGGGCAGGAGAAGAACCAAATAAAGGAGGTGTCTTTATGTGTCCCTGGTGATAAAATATAAGCAAAGTGAGGTAGTTTGTTGGATTTTTGGGCTTATGAGAACTCATACTTTCACGTATTTACATTTGAGTCCTAGCTGAATGTCAGCCTGCTCGGGATCAGGTTGGAGCTAGTCTTCATTCCAACTGTCAGAGGTTGTGCAACGTGTAGAGATGGTGGGTTTCAGTGTGGATTTGAGTTGAGTAGATGTGACTGGTAGCGTCTGTCATGCATAATGGAGAAAGACTTGACTCGTGGCACTGCCTTGTTCTGCCTTGTCTTTTCTCATGGTTACTTTGTTGACGGGGTAACAAGTGACTGATTTGGATGCACTTGTATTCTTTTGCATAAAATAAAAGATCTGGCAGTATTCTAGTGATGGAGCATGCCCAGGTGGACCTCATAAGTCTGGATTGGGGCCCAGTATGATTGTGAGTTGAGCAGTTTTAAGTGGTTTCTGTACAACATTATTTTTAAAAATCTCTACTAATCAGTTTCTAAAACCAGCCCATGGTTTTATATGGGCTGGTTTTAGAAACCGATTAGTAGGGATTTTTAAAAATAAACACCTCTATTCTTCACATACATTCTCATTTTCACTTCCAACAAGCCACGCTTGCCCAGCCAACGAACGTTAGAGAGGAAGGCAAAAGGTTTTATGTAGAAGAAAGAACATTGATGTGTACATATTTTCTGCAGAAATAAGAGAAAGACTTGCATAACATATTACTGTCGATTTAAAAATCAAAAATAAGAACAAAACCAGTATTTGATAATGTATTTTACTCCAGAAGATTTGAATGTTTAAGTGATGCTGCAAAACAATGTTTTTTGTGCACAAGTTTAATATATTGAAGGAAAAAAAAATGTATAAAATATTCCATAACTTTTGCACTGGCCACATTTTATGTGTTGTTTTTCAATATGTTAAATTCAGCAAAGAAATAGTAACTGTGCATTGAAACGTGCAAAAGTGTATTCTCTGTAGAGGACATGCTAAGTTCTTTTCACTTAGAAAAGCAACACCACATATAATTTGGCCAGGGGTCCTCAGACTTTTGCATATGACTACTAATTTTAATACATCTGTTACTCTATAGAAATAAATGTTATCTTTCTCTATAATGCTAATCGAGGTACATTTACAGTTTTTTCAGTGTTTTATATGGATATCAGCATCAATAGATATGTACATGGAAAAATATCAAATATCAGCCCGCAGTTCCGATATTGGTGCATTCCTGTTCACTGGACTTGCATCCCCAAAAAAGGCAGCATGGAGATTTGTCTCAGGGAGTAGAGCTTCCAAGGCAAGTCAGTCATGAACCATACAGTAACAAGCCACGATTCACTGCCGTCGATAGAGCAGATGTTTGACTGTAACACTGAATGGATCCAAACAGATTTAGTCCAGTGTCTTTAATCACCGCATGTCTTGAGCCAAAGGCCTGTAAAAGGCCTTCAGTATATTTTGGATCTGAACACAATCACTGCTAAGTATATAATAAGTATATAATAAAATGCATATACTTCAATACTGGGATCAAGCTTATTGCACACATGCTTACAGCTGTGTGCTATTGACATTGTCATCATTACTGATCAGCGAAGCACTAATCTGATTAGTGAAGATCGGAATTGGCCGTTATTCACTTCTAACATGCGAATGGCCAGTTCATTTTTGTTTTGGCTGGTCTGTGCATGAATTTTGTGACATAAATAATGTCAGCCAGCCAAATACATGCAAACTGCATTTGAATGCTTCTGCTCTACTTTGGTAAAAATGACAGCTGTTTGGAAGGAGGATGTCAGGACTGCAAACCTCATTTGTTTTGTAGGAGAAACTGCAACAAAGACTATCGGTACAACCAGTGTCGTCCCTTGAGTGTAGCACACCTCACAACCAGCTCACAAAGCTCAAGTCGCAGTTTAAAAACAACAGTCTACCCGCCTGTTACTTTCCAGAAAAAAAAAATTGGCTAATAAAAACAGCAAGAAAAAAAAAAAACCTAGCAAATGCGTGGTTTGGCTGTAATGTATATGTAAAGTATGTATTTACAACTATGTATAGTGTACAGTACTGTGAAAGTCAGACACGACCCTTCATTTATTTAATTTCCTGTCAAAGCAACCAGTAAGTAGAAGTTGTTCATTTTCCATACAGTACTTCGCAAAAGGCTTAGACAATTAAATTATCAGGGTAGTAAGTGTTTATTTGCTCAGAAAAACACTAATATTAGAACAAAAACAGTCAGTGCTTCGTTAAGTTAAATCAGTAGTGATGGTGATGGATTTTAACAAATCGCTGCCATGGCAGGGGGCATCCAGGAGAAATCTGGAACCAAAGCTTTGTTCTTCAAACTAGCTCACAAGATATAAAAACATTAGATTCATGTTGCTTTTAACTGTGTTAATGTTTGTTTGCTGAGCAGAGGTTGCTAAGTAATGACTCAATTTATGCTGTAGCTAACTGTTACTAAGTTTCTACTTTAGCACATGTACAAACAGAAAAGTGATACATTAGATAGCATCTGTAAGATAATATTTAGCATGTACCCCGTTTGACCAGATTGTGAAGAAGTGTCAGAGCAGGCCTACATCAAATTCCAAACCTGTCGTTGACCCTGAACGAGGTATGACTTCAAAACAACTAAACATTATTGAATTGCCGGAAATGAACAGAAAATAGTTCAGCAAGCAAGAAGATCTGGGAAATGCTTTTCCCAGACTGTCTGGAACAAAAAGACATTCAGGTGAATCTGGGAAGTATCAAAAAAGCTGTGCTGAACCTGATATTACGACACTTTTATGGCTCTATCCATAGTGTAAGAAGCTACTTCTAGAGGCGTAAGGAATTGCAAATAATGGAGCACATTTGATGCACTGTTTGGTGTTTATTTGCTTTACTTTTTACTATTTTGCAGAACTGTTTCAAGGTCACACTCAAGGCCGTAACACTCCCTTTTGTGTTCCACTGCTTAAGTAAATAACTGTTTAATACTAATATGTGTACAGTATGGCTTGTTAAGTATATCTGCAATGATGGAGGCTTTTTCTTTAAGTTGGAGTCATTTTGGTCCGCCATATTGGCCCAGTAACCGGTTTTCTAATATTTGACAGATCTGTGGTAGGTGGTGGGAAGTGTGTCTGTTTGCAGCTCTGTAAGATTTATTTTTTTGTCCCAGCACTCAAAGCCTCGCTTCACGGGCCTTCAGATTAAGGCTAAACCTGTTGCCCTAGTTACTGAGAGA